TCTTTCAATCTGCAGGTACCTTCTCTTCCTTCCACAGCTTCTGCAATAATGGTGTGAGCGCGTCCACTGTTGTCTCTGCGTCTATTTTCAGTGCTTCTGGGGGGATTCCATCTGGTCCTGCTGCTTTCCCACATTTCAGTAACTTTATGGCGCTCAGGACTTCTATTTTGTTGGAGGATTTATGTTCACTTGTAGTTCTGTGGCTGCGGTGCAGGTGGTATTTCTGGACGAAGTGCAGGTGGTGGTGGTGGTCGATTCACTTGCCAGTGTTTCATAGAAGTGTCTTTTGTCTTTCCGTGCACTCTTCTTCACTTCTTTGTCCAGTGTAGTGTTTATACATTGTACTCATTTCCTCCTCTTGTCGTTGAGCATCCTTGCACTGGTTTATCTTCTGTTTTACCATCCTCCTCACCCTGCTTTATCAGCTTCCATGTATCCATTGAGATCCATTCCTTATCTTCTTTCTTCTTCCTTCCTAATACGGTTATGAAGGTTTCTTTCCACATCTCTTTCAAAGACTTCTAGTATTCTTCCACACCCCATTCTTCATTGATGTCCCTCGATATCTCCCATTTTGTCTTGATGTCTGGCTGCCGTGAAGATTTCCTTTGTAGTTTCATCCTTCAGTTTCCGTGTGTTGAACTTGAACTGTGGTCTATCACCAACTTCCTTGAAGGCTTTTAACTTGATTTGGAAGGTGGGTTCCTTGCACTAGATAGTGAGTGGTGTGAACCTACATCTGCTCCTCTTCTTGACCTTGTGTCAAGTAGACTGCGTCTCCACTTTCTTGAGATTGACATAAAGTCGATACCCACCTAGTTTACTCTTAAATAGTAACTACACAAGGTCATAAACCAACACAAGTCGACAAATCCGATTCGGCATAACGAGGGGAAATTACAAGTATCAGTAGAAGTAATAGTAATATTCACTGCTATTCATTTTGATGATATGTTTAGGCAAAGATGAGCAATCACCACAGCATCCTACAATGCAAACACATCTATATAATAAACCATACATCTATGCTAGATGACGATGAAATGTGGGCTGCTTTGAATTACTTGAATAGAAATCTCAGTATGTTTGTATCAGTCAAGTATAAGATGAATGTCTAGAACTAGTCTGTTTCGAGGATTCATGATTACAGGTGTACAAACATTTCATTCACTTAGCGTATTCCACTAATCTTGGTGAGTTGACCACTTAAACATGAACAAAAAGGTTTATTTAACACTTGCCAATCTACCCATGGTATGATTAAGATAACTGAAGACATAACTAAGCACAGCTGTACTGCATAGCAACTCTCATCAATAGAATGTGAAAATCATAGACTGAGATAAGATATAACTTCTTAAACTGTGCCATGAAATTTAAACGGCAGTTAACAGATATTCTAACCTGTGAGCCTAATCTGTTAACTAGTAATGCACAGATGAGACAACTACATAATTTAAGTTCCAATCTGTTGGAACTAGTAGACAAAAATCTACGTGCACATAATAGCAACAAAGCCTCGGCAAGAAATAAATGGCGTTCAACATAATCACAAACCACTGACAGCATACTAGTTTCAGCAGTGACAGTTCACGACCCTAATTGGAGTCGAGTACCCAATGTTCAGGTTCCATGATGAATACGTTACCGTCTTGACATTTGGTTCACGTCGAATGTTAGATTGTACTTCAGGATAGGTCTGCAACTACACTATAGTTCAAGGATAAGGAGTGAAGTGGTGGATTGCATCAACTACTTTAATTATATAGGGAGTTACGTCAGCCCGAATTGTTCGTTACTGATGGCATCTCACCTCGAATACAAAAGGCTCGTCAGAAACTTGCCAACTTACGTCGTCTGTAGCATCCACCGGTGAAATATCCAACTACATATCAAAAGATGACTGTACCGCCCTGCAGTTCGTTATATTCTACTATACGCCTGTGAGACATGGCTGCTGAAAGTAGATATCAAGAGACTACACGTTTTGTACCACAGGTGCCTTTGTAGCACTCCTCATGTATGTTGGAGTTATCATATGACCAACGTAGAGGTTAGAAGAAGAAAACTAGGTAAGAGAGACAAGTCAAACAGTCAGGTTGTGAACCCACATAGAAAGAGGTGGCCTGGACATGTGTTGCACATGCCAAGCCACCACCTACTTCGACATGCAACGCTAACAGAAATTGGATTAGGTTGGAAGAGAGTTCAGGGTGGCCAGATTAAGAAGTAATACCAGTGAAGAAAGTTTCTGACTGCTTCTGTGAGTCCTTTAGAAAGGTGTAAACTGTCTGGCTGATTTCCTCGAGACGAAAGGAATCAGTGATT